AGGGGCATATATTTAAAAAAGGTTCATTTGTAAACAATTGCAACAAAAGCAACAACTTGCGTCTCAAAGCGATCTGGTCAAACCAGAGTCATTTTCCATTGTTGTGTGTCTGCGTTCAGGTGGAGCGTTTTATACTCCGGAGACAATAGACACAGCAAGGCTCCACTATCGCAGTTCGTGGGCCCCCGTCCTGCATGCTGTGGCCCTGTGGCTGAGCAGCACCGGGTTCGGAGCTGGTGAAGATACCGATGAGGTCCCGTCGTCTCTATCCAGGGCGCCTGCCATCCCGCAAGCTCCCTCCTCCACCACAAAGACCTTCAAGGAGTCTGTCAAAGACCGGATGCATCTGATGTTGGGTAAAGAGCTCTATATAGTAATTCATGTTACCGAGTCTTTAATGTTTGGATCTTATGAAAGCCCCCACCTCACCACAGAATACAAGTATTGTTCTAAAAAAAAAAAGACCTTTTCATGGTGGCGGCTTTTTGTTGTAACTCGCAGCCAAGGATCCACTCACATCTGCAGAGTATTAGAGGGATGGTGGCCGATGGGAAGGGAGAAACAGTATGAGTAACACAAGCTAAGTGCATTTCTGTGTTCTGTCCCTCAGGAGTCAGTATAGAGTTTCTTTGCTTTCCGCGGCCCGAGGAGCCTATGGAACATGTGATGTCCTGCCTGCGAGCGCTGTTCACGCTGCTGGAAGCTCCAAGTGCTAAGATCCATATCGCAGAGGACCAGGTAAAGACACACGTTTTCTCAGAGAAGAAATACAGGAAGAGAGTGATTGGAGTCAGATTGTTTTCTGAATTACACATCCAATTTGATATTTGAAGAAAGATGTGTCATTGCTGTCATGTTTACAGACATGTAAGCACTGCATAAACCCAAATGAAATGGTAACTTTGCAAAGGAAAAATAAGAGTGGATTGCACACGTCCGTTGCTCACACCTTTCATTTGTTATCTCTTTGGTCTCGTTCAAGTGACATATTTACCAGTGACTGATTCCCGCCGTAGTGTAAATATGTGGTGAATACCGCAGCACCACGTGATATTTACTGGCTGAACAATTAACTGCCACACAACAGATAATGGGATACTGAGAGCTTCAAAGGATGCGTGGATTGTCTTCTACAACTTCATCAAAAGCTGGTTGTATTTCTCAGCTGCCTTTTGTTTGCGCCGCCACACAGTCCTTACAATCGCCTGTCTGTCAGTGAGTAGACGCCTGCACCACCTCTGCGTACGGCGTGGTAGTAGGGAGGTCCCTCTCGCTTTATGAAGGTCCATTTTATGTTACCATGCAGACTGAAAGAGATTGGCATTGAAACATTTATTGCTATGACACAACAACTTCTTGTGGACATGTTGGCAATGAGCCAGGACGTTGAGTATTATTTAACATCAATGTTCACATTCCTGATGTTTCACAGGAGCAATACTGTACATGTTATTTCTGTTGTAGCTGTTGGCAGTGGAGCTGCTGAACGTGCTCCACAGGCTGCTGCTGACCCGGGACCCTCCTGCTGTACAGCTCCAGGTCATTGCTGTGGTACAGGAGACCATCAGGGCAGCACAGGACCATCTGCAGCGACAGAAGGCCAGCAAGGGTCAGCAACTCACACGCTCCTCACACGTTTACGTCACATACACTTAAAAAACTGACCACTCTGTGAAAGCCGTCTGAACATAAGAGTGGTTACGTCACTTTTAAGTTTTATCTTTGTAGGCACGTTTGTTTTTTCTCCTGGTGAATTCTGTGACTGTTTGAGTGATCTAGGTCACTTTGTTGTTTTGTTTAGGCAAAGAGGAAGAAGGCGAGAAAGACTCTCTGCCCAGCCTCGGGGAAGGAGGAGACACGGGGGAGCTCGTACCCGGCAAGTCTCTGGTGTTTGCGGCCATGGAGCTGCTTGTGTTTGTCCTGGTCCGCCACTTACCGCAGCTCAATGCGCGCGTGAAGGAGTCGCCCAGCCACGTGCCACTCAGGCCGCAGCGACTACCTGAGGAAAGCGCACGCCTGGTGGCCAACACGGTATCCATCCTGGCAGAACTGCCCTCTCTCTGCTCTCCTGCTGGTGAGGCCTGAAGCAAACAACACATGCACACACACACACACACACACACACACACGCCATGCAAAATCAGAAGAGGCAGATCTGTAGACTCACTGTACACATTGATAGCAAATCTCTGCTCCTATTTGGATGTTCTATGTAGAATACTTAGTTTTCTTTGCCTGCATTTTTAGGTTTGTTTACACTATTGATGAACTAAAGTCTAAGCAATGTGGAGTTCACTTTGAAAAGCCCATTCCTCAGTTTCTCTTCACCTTTACAGGAAGCATGACCATCCTTCCCACGGTGCTCTTCCTAATCACGGGCGTTTTAAGGGAGGCTGCAGTTAAGACTGCAGACAACTCTGTGCCCGTGACTGTGTCTGCTGCCCTGCAGGGCATAAAGACGATCATCACCTCCCCGCTGGCCCGGGTGGAGAGCATGCAGACACAGTGGACCGGCCTAGTGAGGAGCAGTCTGGCGTCCGTACTCGAGCACTCAGAGCCAGGTAAGAAAAAAATGCATGCGCTCGTTGGACTGTGAGCTCTGTCATGCAGGGGGTCAGAAAACCGCCTGACATCATCTTTCGTTGACAGTTTACATGCTTGTTTGTGCATTTCCGTAGACGAGTCCAGGCCCGACATGGATGAGGTCAGTATGTTAACAGCGATCACACTCTTCCTGCTGTCTGCCAGCAACGAACTTGTCGGCGTAACCGTCCTGCAGAAGGGCTGCTTGGACCGCTTCCGAAATGCCCTCAACTCTAGGGATCCCTGGGTAAGTGCCTAATGAGTACAGACCGAGCTGAAGACCCTCAGCCTGGACTAGTGTTGAATTCCTTATCGAAAAGGTGTTCTCCAGATGTGTGTGGCCAAGTTAATTGAGTGATTTTATTTGTTTTGCCGCAGGTCCAGGCACGGTGTTACCAGCTGCTGTTGTCAGTGTTCCAGCACTCCAGCCGCGCGCTGTCTACTCCGTACATCCACGCTCTGGCTCCTGTCATGGTGGAGAAGCTGAAGGCAGTGGAGCGCAGTCGGCCAGGGACTGCTGCTGAGCTGCAGGCTGTGCAGGAGGGCATTAGGGTCCTAGAGAATCTGGTCGGCATGGGTGAAGAGCAGAACCGTAAGTATGCTTAATGGACCACTATGGGGCAACAATTCCATTAAAGTGTTTAGCTTCCTTTCAAAGTAGGCCTTTAAAAGTGTTAAGCTCACTGGAGATTAAAGCAATATAGCATTAAATTATACATTTAGACTCCCCGTTTGGGTTTATTGTCAATTAAACTATCAATTTCAACTTTATGTGATATATATTATTCATCATGTATTTAGGTAATGTGGTGGACAAGTAATACATTTCTTTCCCAAATGATCTTGTTCCTTCGTCCTCTGTTTTTATTTCCCAAGTAAAGCAAACTGTGCTTATACTTACAGAAAATGCAAATGCACATGTTTGTTGTGGTGACGATAAACTTTGTCACTTTGTTTTCTCTTCCGGTGCAGTTAAACTTTCCAAGCCCTTTTCGGTTGAGTTTAATAATTTTGCTGTTGTTGATCTTTTTTTTTCTTTTTCAATGTCTCATCTTTATTCTTTGTTTAACAGGGGTGCAGTTGCTGGCTCTTCTCGTACCAACTCTTGTCTCCTACCTTTTGGATGAAAATGCCATCTTCTCTGCGCCCCAAGTATCAATAGCCCTGCATGATTTTGCCCTTCAGAACTTGATGCGGATTGGCCCTCTCTATCCAGCTGCTTTCAAGATAGTAATTGGTGCAGCACCTGAGCTTAAAATCCGTTTGGAATCTGCTATACGGGCCAACCAGGCCAGCAGCAGAGCCAAAGCTGCAGCCAGGCTAGCTCAGCCGACGGTGCAAGCTGCACCAACCATCAAACTCAAGACGAGCTTCTTCTGAAGTCTCCCAAACCCTTGTGGCCTAAATTAAGGTTGTGTCTTTAGGTTTTGGTGTCTGTCAATAGAGTACCACATGTCGTGTATGTTTCCGCTACAGTTTAATAAGTGTATTTATTAATCTGACATGTCATTGTTGTTTTTGAGGAGTGATAACTCTTCAAGTCAAGAAGGCAATTATGTAAATATCATTAAAATGGCATTTGAATGTTGACTTTTTAAAATATCTCACTTTGAAATCTGTAGGAAGTCTTGACTGTGTGAATGTATCATTTGTGGACTATTGCACATTTAAAAATGGACATGATTGAACAACTATTCTCCAGGTGTCCTTTTTCTCTGGTCATCATCCCGCACTGTCCAGAAGTTGGTGTTAACTGTGCTATTTGCTGTGATTTTTGCATCACCATGAGCATGGCAGGTATTTTTTGTTCTTTTGATTCCAATCATGCATGTTTGTTAAGTACATTACCTTAGGGTTTGATCTGATTGTTACTGATTGTTTTTTTGTTGTTCTTTTTCATTTCTGTGGTTGATTAATTATTTTTCCCCTTATGTTTTAAACATTTATTTTGATGATTTTGACCACAGAATGAGATTTTATTGGAACTGATTGAATATCATACGCATCATGCTTTCAAATTACTAATTGACTAATTCTATCAGAGTTTATTGCTCTGCTGATAAACTAGCGGGTAATACATCATGTAAACTACAGTACGTGCCTGACTGTTGTATTGCTTATAATTGACCGACTAACATAACTTGGTAGTTGAGATGGTCCGTTGTAACATTCTACCCTACTTTTTTTTTTATTTGTCAATAAAGTTGCTTTTACCCCACTGTGCTGATGCCTGTATTTGATGTTCTTGGAGTACATTGTGATGCGGGGTCTGTGATTTTACATTTTAGAATTTAAAATGGGTTAATCATCATATTGAGACTGTTGCTTCGGGGACTCCGGGTAAGTAAATCGAGCGTCCCGATCCAACACGCTGTGGGCGTGGCCGTTGTGACTGACGTCATACTATGACAGCTAGCTGTCAGAGAGCGAGTTCATTCCCTTGAGCCGAGGAGACGGAGCGCAGGCGATAGGCTTTTGCCCTTCCGTTGACATCGAGCACCTCAAATCAGCGAGACGACGGATAGACCTTTGCACCGAGCCCGGCCATGGACGAACAGGCGGGGCCCGGCGTGTTCTTCAACAACAACAACAACTCCGTTTTGCCCGGCGGGGGGAAAGGACCGCTGCCCGACGGCGACGCCGGGGAGGCGGCTAGAGCGCAGTACAGTATCCCGGGGATCTTGCACTTCCTGCAGCACGAATGGGCCCGCTTCGAAGTAGAGAGAGCACAATGGGACGTGGAACGGGCCGAATTACAGGTGAGAACCGACACATTTCGGGCACACACGGTCACACACCAGTGGCGGTACCGCAGCGTGGAGCCTCGTCCTTCTGGTAAATCGCGTAGAGTGTCAGTTTGATTGGTTGCTAGGCTAGCTCGTTAGCTTTAGCATAGCAGCTAAAGGAGCTGCAGCGCCCCCCCCGCCCCGCTCTCTGCACGACTGTTAGCGACGTCTTGACTGTGACTGAAACCACCACTTGCTTTCTTCCTTTAGGAGCAGGAGGACAGGCGGTAGAGTAACGTTTGGCCTGTAGGAAACAGCCTGTTGTGTATCACCAACAGTCCTCCATGAACGTGTGACGTAAATGATAACAACGTTGTGTTAAAAACAACAACAAAAGCTAAACGTATTTCACCCGCCTTTGGTTTTCATTGCAGCTTACCGTTAAGCTTAAAGGGGGGATGTGTGGGAAAAGGCTACGTTAGTAGTCCGTGCGGACACACACACACACACACACACACACACACTCGCTTCGTGTCTTGTGGTTGGATCCGATCGTAAGCGTCTGTCTTGATGCTGCCTCGGTCGAGGGGAAATGTGAAATACTGGCTCGTGTAACTCCGACAGAAGCCCCGGCGCCTTTTCAAACAAACGAGCCTTGTGATTAGTTTGCTTTAACTTGAAGAAACGGGTCTTGCAAATACCCAAATTGGAAGTGAATTATTGAGTTGTTCTGGTGTTTTCCTGTTCAACTGGGCTTCTTTTTTCCCTGTGCGATTGTACCTCGTATAGCGCTGTAACGGTCGTCCTCACATAGATAGAAACATTTGCTACAAATTAACTTTTATGTTTTTTTGGGACTATCCACAATGGGCACACACCATTCCTCTCCAGCATTTGAGAAGGCCTTGACGGGAATTATTACTGTCTCGTTATCGGCCTCCCTGCCCATCGTTTGTTATTTTCCTTTCCCTCGTTTGGACCCACTTGTGATGGAGCCGTAACTGTTTGAACACAGACAAGAGCCAACACTGAATTTTTTTGGGGGGTCTGGCAGCCGGCAGACTGACCAAAACTAACAAAGAGACAGGGGAGGGGGGCGGGGGGGGGAGACACTGTTTTGTTTTGAGGTTGGTGACGTACACCCTGCCTAGTGTATCAGGGGATTGACTCATCCGGCCCGCGTATCACGCTTCCTGTCTGCTGCCGTGAGGCAAGCTTTTGAGCCAAGCAGCAGCAGCAGCAACTGCGGCAAAGCACAGTGAGGTTGCTAAATGGTTTATTGGGTGGTTTGTTTGTGGCGGCAAAACGGCGGGGGCGCTCAATTTGAGTTCTTGTTCCTGTTGCACCTCACAGAGTTCGGTATTCTGTAGACCGTCCTTTTTGACACAATATCTGTCCGAATTCATTCTTTATTTAGGCAGTTCACTTATGTAACCTTGTTGTGTCCTTGAGTGTTTGTCTCCATATTGCAAACAAACACCGTACTTTAACCCATAAAAGGTCTCGCTGGATTCATCTTCCGTGAAGGGACCTCAGGGAGGAAGAAGAGCTACAAAGTCATTTGGCTGAACCTGAATACTCGTTTGAATATTGAAAAGTCGTAGTGGGCATGGAGCCTCAATGGAGCAGCGTCCACTGTGCCGCGTGTTCCTGTTTGGTCCGCGTCATCCTTCTGCTCGTCATCGCGTCCACACACTTGTGTTTTGATCACGGAAATCCAAGCCGACATGTTATCTTGCACGTTAGAAAAGGCTCCTTACCAGGTTTCAGAGTTGAGACCATTAAGAATGTACATGAAGCGGTTTCCCAGCCCACCGAATAGTCTCCTCCCAGGACGCTGTTGTGGTTGTCGGTCAAATGGACATTGAGTGGGAGACAGTGGAAGCGGTGTCTCTCGTCGCTGCTGGGGAGGAAGGCTCAAAGCTTGTAGGAATGTCGTCCATCAGGCCTGTTGGGTCACGCTCCGAGCCGCCCAACTAAATGAAATTTCATCCAACTAGTGAATGAATCAAGTTAAAAATGAAGGTAATTGTTAGTTTTAGCTCTACTGTAAGTGTTTAACGTCTATGTCTAAACGTATACGGCTGCTGTCATTCATGATTAAACTCTAATTGAGTGATCATTGATAATCAATAGATTGATCAGGCTGATTTGCGTATAGCAAGTGATATAGTTTATGATCCCAGTCAGTCTCTGGTATGTTATCATGGTAATGAAAACCACTACAGATGCAACTAATAATTGTCAGGTTTATCAATTCATTCTTTCTTCTTCAACATGGGAATAGATTCCAGGATCAGCACCATCAGATGAACATGCTGATGAATCATAGGTTAAACCTCCCACCAAAGATTACCACAGAGACATTTGAGGCCCAATTACACCGTAGAATAATATAAAGATCAAGATCAATTATGCTTTTTTTTTTTTTTTTTTTTAACTAGAAAGCAAAAATATAATTAGACTCATTTTGTGGTCCGCCGGTCTTGCAACACTATTGTTGACAATATTGTATAACGTCGACTAAATGGATTTTTAAATCCTTTTACGCCAAAGCTATTTTAAATATAAACAATACATCTGGTGTCCGAGTTCTAGTGTTTTCTATTAAATAGTATCTCTATTAAAATAACCATGGTTGAAAGAAAGAAAGGTAACAAGCTTTTGAACGGTAGCATACACTGATTTAATTCTGTCCAGGCCAGATGAGGTTGAGTCGAGTTACGCCCCGGACGGGATAGGCGGTGCTTCATCAGCACTCCAGTTGAGGGGAAATCCCTGCTCCATGCGACGTCTCTGTGCCAGGAGCATCCGTCAGCAGCCGGAACTTGACACCAGGAGAAGGCTGAAGGTGACTCGGGGGGGTGTGCGGTGGCCCAAAAAACGCACACCCACTTATCTTCTCCAGAGAGAGAGAGAGAGAGAGAGAGAGAGAAAGGCTTTGTACATGAGCGAGATTGTGATGGGACATGTTGTCCTGTTTCTTGTCATCAGGTTGTGAGGACTACAGCCTAGAATCATCCTCCCTCCGTTGGATGATTTATTGCCCTGATCTCATGTTTACTCTTTTGCTACTGACTAAGCCTGAGGCGTACTTTGCTCAACGGCACACAAACACACACACACACACACACACACACACACTCACTCACATGCTCGTACCGCGGCATTCCAAAACTCAGAAGTGGGTGTCACCGTCGATACCATGTCCGCCCCTCCGAGCTGCAGTTATTTTCGCTCGCCCTCCGAGTGGGGTGGTACAAAATAAGTACACGCTTCCTTACCGAGTGCACACCCATCTTCTCCATGTTGTTCTTCTCCAAAGTCGACCGCGGATTCTTCTTTAAGCTCACGTATCTTTCTCGCACAACAACAAGACTTCCCGGACCTCCCAAAGAAGCATCTGTGTTCTCTCACCGCGCTGGTGCTCCCCGGAAGCCCCACGTAGGCCGTCGTTGTAGTACACATCAAATATTCACCGTAGCGAGTCGTTTTTTTAAGCATTTTTGTGTCGTATTCTGTGGCGCCCCCCTCCCCATATCCCCCAACTCGAGGTTGCCCGTCCAACTAAGTTGTAAATTGTGTTCTCAGCCGATCAAATTACATCTCAACGGGGCTGATATTGTTGTTGTTTTCCTACATTTTAATGACACAACAGTGTTTTGCCTCTGAAGGTATATTCTTTTCATACTATGGATGCATCCACGTCTACTCACAGATTTTATGTATGTGCCTTTTTGATTTTCAACATAAAATGGAAACTATTCCGATGCACGTTGCTTCTGATGATTGGACGAAATGTTAAATTGTTCTCTCCCCTTTTCTCTCCGCCTTTGCTGTGCGGCACATCTTCACTCTCCAGACGCTGCTGTAAATGTTGTTTTCTTCCTCGTGGCTCTGCGGGGAACTCGGACACACGAGCCGCTTCTCAGAGAAAACGCTGATGTCGAAAGATTTCGCTCCTTGCCCGCATACACCGTATGTGAGCGCGTGCACTTGCGCTCTGGGCCTGATCTAATATTAATGCAGCTACACGGGATGCAGCACTCTTGTACTGCCTTTTGTTTGCACCCCCCTGCGAGGCAGCGGTGACGGCGAAGCGTTAAGCGAAGCTCAAGCGGGACCTCGTGATGAGATGAGAATAACGAATACGTGTCCCTGTGATTCTCTGACTCCCGGTTAGGTTCTTTGAGACTCCGTTCATATTTATCAGTGGCTTGACAAAGGTTGTTGTTTTGTTGTTGTTGTTTTGCCAATTTTGTTGTGCGGTTTCTTTTTAAACATTAAACTTTCTCAACCACTCGAATAGAGCTGTTTTGGCCACGGACACGTTCTGTTGATCCGAGCAGAAAACCCGCCGCTGGGGCCACGTCAGAGGGATCCAAAGCACCGCCGTCTTGCCTCAGTTTTTCCCCTCGTTGCTGCTGGTGTGATGGAATGTGAGGAATGTTCACTTGGCCGGTCGTCGGGTCACGGTGCTCATTGGTTTGCAGTGACTGGGAGGCTAAATCTGATGTTCACTGCAACAAGGGTTGTTTGCATTCAGCATGTGGGATTCACAGCCGTGTGCGTGCGTGTGTGCGTGCGTGTGCGTGTGTGCGCCCTGAGGTTGTATGACCCTTCTTCAAATGTGGACTGAGCTCAGTCCTGCCACTGAGATGGATTTTTCCCAGTAATCACTGTCTGGATTAAATCGCCTCATTGTATTAAAGATGTCTTTGTCGATGACGTAGAACGTGTCTGGAATCCTCAAATCTCATTATAACGGAGGAGGGGAGGGGGATCATTTATAATCATCATACATTTATTGACTGAAAATTGAGTTGAAAGAAGGTGCAGGATTTGGTGGAATGGTTTTCTTCTTTCTTCCTGCTGTTTGTGTAATCCGTTGTGCGACGTGTGCTCAATGAAGCTACACGTTGGAAGCTTTCATTTGCAGCACTTCCACATTGACAAACTAGACAAATGCTAAATATTTGCTTGAGCTGAGAGAAGTCTTTGATTGTATCCACGATAAGTTCAATGGCCTCATACCCCCATTGCGAGTGTCTAACCTCAGCCTTACCAGGCCTCCGGCCTGGTGTGTCTGGCTCCTATTTCCCTCCCCTCTGCCTCCTTTTCTGCCGGTCACTGAATAGCTCGGCGCTCTGGATGGATGCCTCGTCCTCCCCGTCTCTCCCTCAGACGCACTGAGGAGCCCTTATCCACTCCGCCCAATAATGCAGCCAGTGTGAGACTGGGAATTAAACGCTTCCTGTGTGTGTCTCTCTCGACTCTGCTGCATTCCTCCCGAGGGTTAATGTCGGATGGAGGAGAGATCCACAGAGCCGCTCTCTTCTCTGTTGCCACGCGGCGATTCGCGCTGAAGAGGAAGTGAGCGGCCCCTCGTTCCGTCGCTGATGGCAGGTTTGCGGGCTTCATTCCCCGTGAGACCGGTCCGTGTCCTTTTCTCTGTCTGTCTCTGACGCCATGAAGTGAGTGCGTCACAATTAACAAGGCGTGTTAGAGGTGGGGCTTTGTTGCTCTGGGCCTGACAGTTGACATAGGAGAAATCTTGAGACGGTCAATAGCTTCTCCAGCCCGGGTGCCTGTGATGAGGTCCGCACTGATATTTGGGTTGGATTCCCTTTTCGAGCTGGTTATTTTAGGAGCCACGCACTCCGGCCCCATCCACAGTGATCATTTTCCATATGCAATACTTTCCTCATATCTCATCTGTGCCCCTGTGCCTCCTCGCCCGGCCTCCAAAAAACAACACAAAGTGAAATGAAGTGGAGTCTGCCTTTTTTTGGATATCAGCAAGTTGTTGATCTCTTTATCTGGCCTCTCTGAAAACCTCTCTTTATCCCAACCACAAATGACTAGTTTGGTTGGAATACTCATTCTAATCTGCTACTGGGGCTTTTATTTACAATGGGTTGTCTGACCTGCTCCTGCACGATACTGTAACTTAGCCTACAAATAAAACCAGAGACCTCTTTGTGGACGTTTGAACCTTTTCTTTGTTTGTTTTTTGGGAGCGACCTCACTTCTTGCTGTCTGTTTCGATGCTGAATGATACCCGCTGCAGAAGGTTTGACTTAAAGTGCATTAACATCAATCTCTAATGCGTTAGTATAGATCCGGCTGAGTGGGGGGGATGCGCATAAAACAAGGCGGGGAGTAGAGAAGAAACCCGAGGCCTCGCGGGCGTGGAGCGATGTGCGTGCTGATCCGCCTCTCGAGAGCATCGACGTTTTGGCATCTACATGCAGGCCGCTGGCACGTGACCGGTGCCGGCTTAACCCGTAGCCGTTTACGACGTCAAGGCGAGAACCCGCCGCCTGAATCCCGAGAGCGCCGCGGCAGGCCGGTGGTAATGCGTCTCTCTGCGGGGAACTCTGGACGGCAACGAGCTGTTAATACGAGGCAGATTGGAAGCTCTGTCGTGACTCATCACTGCGGGCAGAACCGGCGCTACTTGCTCTGCGTGTGAAGCTGTGATCCGGCCCACTCAAACTCGCACCATCCTCTGCATGCGGAGTGACATGCAGGGATTCGTTCCCATTTAAGAAGTTCAAGTGTTTTGAATCCTTCCCAAAAGAAGATTTTGAATATTTTACTGGCATTTATAGACCGGGGAAAGCTCGTTTGGGACTTTTCTTCACCCTTGTGTACACTGGATCTGCCACTGTGATGCAGCGCTCTACTGTGCTTTCTCAGTTCCAGTTTAGTTTAATATAAAAATTAACTTTTACCATTGCATTCTAATTATATGTTCTCCTCCGAACTACAGAGTGGCGCTTACATTCTCGTTGTGTTGCTGGCGGTCGATAACTGACATCGACTCTCGAGCAGAGTGCAATTCTGATGAGGTGGCGAAACAACAGAGCTTTCGTCCTCCTTTCTGCAGACAGCGCAGACTTTAGTTCGGCAGCCTCTTGTCTTCATCTCACTGTGACCCCGAAAATACTGGACATACTTTATGGACAGATGCTTTACAAACCCTGTACAGTACATTGCAAGACAACCTCACAATAATTCAATGCACTGTAGAAGAAATACAAAGCTTTTAGAAGAATACAACTTTAATTTGTTGTTTTTCAGTATTGTGCAACTTCGTTACTTAACATATTGTGATTATATATTTTCAACCAAATTAAATCATAATTACAAACACTCTTGTCTACTACATGGTTTGTTTTTTTATTTTGTTTAAGTTACACAAATAATTATTCTATACCAAGGAAATCCAATTTCTAGAAAACTGCATTAGACGTTTGAAAGAACTGAAGGACATTAATAAACGCTGCAGTGACTTTATTCAAGCTGACACTGATTTACCCAGCCTGCTACTGATTGAGTTCATTTGCCCCAAAAGTCATTTTCATTTTAAAAGCTCTGCACAGCCGGTTTAACGTTAACAGCGACACCCCTATCTCTATTTCCACAAAAATATGAATGGTGGTCAGCGTAAATAAAAAACAAAAGCTTAAAACTGAGCGTTTTAATCTTCTTTTTTCTCAGGACTAGTTTGCTTGACTTTCATTTTAATAACATCCGTAGCTGAGGGGGCAACACTTTGGCCCACAGTGCGCTGGAGGAAAGTCCGAAATATATACTGCCTTCTTTTTCTGAATAGAGACTTGAAAACCGATATTGATTCTAAATCAAATCACAGACACCAAGAATAACAACCAAATTGAATATGGAAATTGTCAACGATTCCCACGGCCAATAGTGACACAAGATAGTTTGGCTTGATCTGCTGCACCGCATGCCTCAGTGTGAGCATGCCTCTACAATTCTCATTGCGTGCGTGCGTCCGCGTGTGTGTGTGTGTGTGTGTGCGCGCAGCCTAGCAACGTAATGCAGTGCTGACTCAGAACGATGTGGGTCAGCAGCTGCTGCCTGTTACTGAAAAGAGACGGGTGGTGTACAGAGGGAAGGGAGTTCAGAGGAGGGTGTGTAGGTAGGTGTGTGTGTGTGTGGAGAGGGAGTAGGTTAGCTTAAAATAGGAGATACAGATTGGCTTTTATTCCCCATCATTCCACGCATATTGATTTGACATCGTCCTATTTCAGTCTCGACAGAAGTAGTCCTCCTCAGATGCTGCCTCGCGCAGGTTGTGTTTGAAGTCCAGGCTTTGTTCCATTTCCAAGATGCCAGAAACACACCAGGAAGTTGTCTCTATTAATAAAAGCCACTACTTAAAATCGCGTACTACTTTAGGATGTGACCTGACCGGCCTATTTCTGTGTTTTCAGGCCCAGATCGCCTTCCTGCAGGGGGAGAGGAAAGGCCAGGAGAACTTGAAGAAAGACCTCGTGAGGAGGATCAAAATGCTGGAATACGCCCTGAAGCAGGAGAGGTGAGTTCTTCGCCGCCTGTGCCCGCCCACAATACGCACAGACGCCTCGGCCACGAGCTACAACCGCGGTGTTTCCGTGTTTTTCCCGCTCCTAAATATAGGTTCCTGCTTCTGAAGAAATATGGAGAATGAGAACCGTGTGAAACGTCAAATCAACATCTGCTGCACCCAAACGTGACCTACTGCACGTCTACTTTTTTTTCCCTGTTTGCTCCAGTTTTTAAAACATTTTCCAGCTTCCCTGTTGTTAATATTATCTGTGCGAGGGCGAGTGACAGAGAGAGTCGGTCCCTCCTCGCCCAGACTGCCTGAGTCCCGGCTGATGTCTCCGGACAGGAGCGTGTGTTGGCATGAAAGCTTGGTTTGCTGTCGGATGCTGATGACTCGGGGATGGGGGGCCGGAGGGGGGTGAGGAGGAATTCTCTCACCACTCTTGAGACGAGGTCCCCGTCGCAGCTTTTCTTCACCAGTAAGCCAGAAGAAAGAGACTGTTCTCCTCCTCGTGTGCATTAGTCCGTCAACGTGGCACAAAAGGTCCCCTCGGTGGCTGTGGTGATGCCCTTTGCTTTTCTTCGTTCCTCCTTGACGCATGGCTGCCCCCCCTGTCACGGAGGTGTGGTCTCTGTTAATGCAACGTTAAGCCACCGGGTCTGTCATTCCAACTCTGAAGCAGCAGAACGAGAAGAAATTGCCCTTTGCGGATTTTGGATGTGTGTAAAGTTGATGTTAATGAAGAGTGTTTCCGACCGGACGGACTTCAGTCAGCTCAATGCGTTTTGGTGACGTAGAATGTCACAACCGCTCACAAAACGTAAGAAGGCAGAAAATACAATTGATTACAAGTGTCCTAAACTTTCATCACAATTTAAGAGACCGACATCCTGGTTAATCTTTTACCTGGGGTAGTGTGTGTGTGTGTGTGCGTGTGCGTGTGCGCGCGCACTTTACAGTCTCGCTCTCTCACGTCTCTGTTGAGATCTTCGCGAGGAACCAAGTGCACACATTTATTAGAACCATATTCAAAAGCTAAAGCATTTTAATTATCCTGGAAACAGGAGTTTCTTTGAGTGTCCTACTTTTGTTATTCAAAACAATTATTATTGTTATTATTTTATAACCAGTATTACATCAAGCTTTTAGTTTAGGGGCTTGTAACTGACTTCCAGCTCTTTGTTTTCTGAACCATTTCCCCCGACTGGGAAAGATTAAAATATTAAATAATTATTGGTGCACCCTGTAGATGTTGGCCATTCCCTTGCATGTGTCATCTCCGCTTACGAGTGTCCCTCTGAAGAGGAGGAGGCTCTTCGCTGCTTTGTGACTCCGGTTTTGAGCTGTGAATGTGCAAAGTCTCTGCTGGGTGAGGACGCGAGCGGAAAAGTGAAAAGTGCGATGGGTAACACATGAAACTGTCGTTGGCAGACGTATTCATTTCAACTGGGAAATGTTGAGCCCTTTTTATCACAACTGAGACAGATGGGGGTCAAAGTGTTTTCTTGCTCCGTCGCTCCTCCAGACTGCCCAAGGGTTAGTTTCATTTTGACACCTTGTGCTCCGCCAGGGACATCATCATTTGGTTGGCAGGTACGGAATTGGTCTTTGAATGTTTTTGTGGTGTATATTTATCTACTTTTCTCCAGTGAAGTCACTGCTGTCTCTGCCTGGGGAGCGACGCTTATCGCAGAATTACTACCACTTTCCCTGGTTGCTAAGCAACAGGTCTCCGAGGGTATCTGAAAGCAATATCCGAAAAGGCTTTCTGAATGTAGGATGTGCCCAATTTAAAATGAATTTGATTTGGATGGGGGTTGTTTCCTCTGGATCACAGCCGGAGCAGTGTGGTGGGGGCGCGGGGGGTGTGTGAACTAAAAGCTGCAAGTGAATCTCCTTCAAAGAAATATCAGTGTTACTGCTTTTTTTTTCTCGTTCAGGTTGGCCATTTTCTATTTGTTTTGTAGATAAATATCCTTTTTTAGAGCATCAACTTTCAAAGGAATAGTTGCGATGTGATGCTATTTGTTATTTTTTGTTATTGACTAATATAATAACTCATAATACAATTTACAATATTTACTCATAGCGATAAATCGATAATGAAAACCTTTAGCTGCCGCTCAGTTTTTTTTTTCCGTATTGTTGTTGTTGTGAGGGTTTTCAAAGCTAATGCAGATGCATTTTTTTATAAATACCTTCTCACACATTTTTTTTTTTTTATCTGCCTAATAATTAATTTTTTTCTCTTTCCAGAGCAAAGTACCACAAGTTAAAATATGGGACCGAGCTGAATCAGGGCGACATGAAGCCTCCGAGCTACGAGTCCGGTAAGTCCACCGTGCTCAAACAGGCTCCTCCCCCCTCACACTAAATCACTGACTGTTGTGTTCACATACCTCAAGTGACAAGACTCACATGTGTGAAGGCTGCATTCATGTTGAATCTTGTTTGCCACAATAGCGCTCCCCTCTGTGCCGTTTCCTGAATGCAGTTGTTGTTGCAGTTGTACTACAGGTGTATCACAGATTGACTGTAGAGTACAGTCGTACTATCACTTAAATCTCAAAGGTCCACAATATAAATATTCCTAAAACATTATTTCACTTGCCTTCGGGCATCAAATAGTTGAGGTTTGTTTGCAAGTAAATGGGTAACTGCAAGCGGCTCAGGCTGTGCGATCTAGTGGTGAACCAGAAAGCAATGTCACCACAAATGAGAAATCCCATACGAGCTCCAGGACAGCTACTCAACGGACGTTATGAGATAGTATGTTATCTTCATACCAACTCCTGCATGGCTAAACGCACAGACGCGAGTAAGAAAAGTGCACGGGGGTCTACGTAAATTTAGTTCTAACTACTTCACCCCCTTAAATGTTAAACACCCTAAACGTTGTTCGCTCTCTTTAGTGCTGACCACCTCCCTCACAGAGCTGCGTTGTCCGTTCACCGCCTTCTCCCTCTTATATTATGTACTTTGATTGGCCCATGTTGGGGTCCTCTGCCATCATTAAGTCAGATTGCGACATTTCCCCTTCTCATCTCTATTCATGAGGGCTGTTCAAAGAACCTGAGCCCTTGAAGTGTTGATGGAGGTGAGGAGGGTGGGGGGGGCGTTAGGGGGAGACGGGGAGAAGAGGAGCGGGAGGTGTGGTTTTGTATGATGGTGCACCTTCCCGCTCCTCAATCTCCTGAATTAGGCATGACCCACTTTTTGAGGAAGCGCCGTCCCTCTGCTCAGTCAAATCAACCTCCTCTCTCTCACACACACACACACACACACACACACACACACACACACACACACACACACACACACACACACACACCATCAAAATCACATTAACACGTCTCTCTGCCCGTTTGCAAAAATCCCAACTGACACTCGAGTGAAGTGCCGACGTTTGATATCTCTGTGGGCTTTGACCGCCATCACACACGTTGTGTGTTGTTGTGATTCCAGCGGGCACAGACACACACGTTGTGTGTTGTTGTGATTCCAGCGGGCACAGACACACACGTTTTGGGGCTTTTCTCATGGCAAGTAGTTGGAGAAGAGCTCCGCCATTTTGAGGATGTCTGTATGCGTCATTAAGTATCGGATGTGCTGTTTTTATAATTCCCTTGCTAGTGCGTTTTTAAATCTCCTCTCTTCACTGCTGTGGTGTACACCGTTTAACAGGGTAATGATTACACACTGATGTCAATATTGAGACTGACTAACTTGTGTCCAAACACAAACATGAGCAAAGAGGGGTCACAGCTGTTTAACTTCTTTTTTGTTTGTTCGTTTGTGCCATAAAATGTCTTTTCAACGGCAAAATTTAAAGAGTAGCAAAACCATCTTCCATTTAACTCTAATATCCTTGCAGAAAGGAACTAAGCTCTTAGGTGTGCGTAGTTGTCGAGATGCTGTGACGGTCGTGTTTGCGGCGCTCTGATTCGTGTCCTCCTCCTCCAGCAGACGAGGCCAACGAGAACGAGTCTACTGGATCGCTCAACAACCAGCTCTCCTGGAAACAAGGGCGCCAGCTCCTCAGACAGTAGGTGCACGCTGTGGGACCCTCCGGTGACCGAAATCACGGCACGGCAGTCGACTGACACAAGAGTCCTAGTGACCTTTCACCTCACATGAAAACTCTGAGGTCAACTTTGCGCTTGAAGCAGGCTTCCAATTTATTGTGGGCTTAGGGTCGAGGGACAGTTCAACAATGTGTAGGACTTTTAGACCGTCGCCGCGATCAATTTGCTCGAGCTTATTCTGCTTTCCCCACGAGAGTAGGTGTAATGTTTGATGAGTAGCTCTCCTTGCCTGGGCAGAGCCAAAGCCAGAGGACACGGCACTCTTTCCAGTAACCTGCACTGGACTTCTTTTCTCTCTAATCAAGTCGTTGTAGGAAATGAACTTAGAAGAGTTTATTTAACGGCCCTTTGCAGAATTACAAAGACTTGTCTGCAGCGTCTCATCCATACTTCCTCCCTGCCACACGATACTGTACATGCATAAATGTATTCCTCACACTACAAGTTACACTTTTAAAGTTGGATTAGTCCGTTTGCAACGATGTATGAGTCGATGACTTTTTCCCAGGTACCTGCAGGAGGTGGGCTACACAGACACCATCTTAGATGTAAAGTCCCAGCGGGTCCGAGCACTGCTAGGACTAGCCGGGGACGGAGGCGGAAAGGCAGGAGAACGGACCAGTGCTGAGCCGCTGGTCAATGGGACAGACGCATCAACAAAGGCCTTGGGCACCAGAGGGTAAGTATTCCCCTTTAATGCCTCTTATTAACTGCCGAATCTCTGAATCCAGTGCAGTTACGACCCCCCCCCACCCCCAAGAGAATACTGGTGAGTTTGAAGGCTACAGAGGACACGTCTTGCCAAGAAATGCAGAAGGATTCATAATAACGGGCAAATCCGACATCATCGGCCTGCACAGCCGGAAAGCCCCGCAGACCTGCAGTTATAGACGTTTCTACCGGCCACAAAAACGTCACTTGTAGCTTGACGATATTAAGATTAAAGCTGGATTCGAAAAGATCAAAGAAAATCCTCCCCGGGACTATTCCTTGACCTGTGTGGAAAATGTCATGGGGTCGAGGGTAGCTGGTTAGGAGAATTCATGGTTAGTTGGGAAAAGACCACTGCGGCGTTGGCGTAACTCATTTATATTGTTAATAAAGTAACACTTTGAACCTGGTTGTCTATCGCTGCGCATGACACAGCACTGTAACAACACATAGACAAAGGCATCCAAGACGCACTTATTTGCAGTCCATCTTTGCAGAAGCCGTAGTTTCGGCGTCGTCACTGACACGCGTCTCCCGTCGCATCAGAACCACGTACGAGTCGGGTTCCCTAAACACGTTTTCCTTTCCTAAATCCTCATGAACTCTCCTGACCATCTTTCCTCGATTGCTACTTCGCAGGAAAGCCGAGCTCTCTGACAGCAGCGCTGTGCTGGAGGCCTTCAAGTTCATTGAGAATGCAGCAGCTGATTTCAGCGACGAAGACGATGACGAGGACAGCGACGGGAGAGACCGGTCTAACGTGGAATCCAGAACGGTAAGAGCAAAGTCTGCACTCGCTCAAAGTTATATCGAGCTCGTCTCTGCGCTCTTAATAACAGTCCTCAATATGTCCTGCAGATCCTGAGGAAGAAACCCACGTCTTCGTCAACGCCGGCCAGTATGGACACCAGTGAAGACCCCGACACGGAGGAGGCCCTGAAGGGCTTTGACTTCCTGTCCAGTCCTGACGAGATGGACACCTCGCCGGAGTCCAGGGGCAACGGGGACGGCACAGACTGGGGTGAGTGAGCAGGGCGCGGAGGGCAAGAAAAGCCCCGCCGGTCGACATGCAAACGCTACATATCGCATGTACGTTGTTTTAGTTGTTCTCTCGCGCGCGATGACGCGCTTGTTTCTCTTTAATCTACAAATTTCCACAACCTTCAGAGGTGCTGAAGTTATGCCGTTTGTCCTTGTAGTCTTCCTTCAGTGTTCATGCAGGGCTCATCATTCATTCATCACGCTGTGGTCATGATGTTTGGATGTTTCCGTGTTCTAACCCATAGCTTGTGATCTCTCCCACTGGGCGTTCCCATAGCCTGCCTGTGACCACAATGTCTCTTCCACTCAAATCAACACAATCCCCTTCTGAGTCTCGCTCATTCTTAGACGCAGAGGTTTTGTATTTGAGTCATGTGTATATAACAATTTGATTTCAACTGTCAGGATTTTATGATGTTTAAATTAAGGAATTAGCTTCCCTCCCACCACCTTCACTTCTCCCAGTTATGAAGAAATAAGACGATCAAATGATATTGTTCTAATGGCCTGCTAAACCAAAAGATCCTCATCTCCAGTCTTGAAGCCCACTACTCTACTGGGGGCTTCTAAAGACTTAATGGGACGAGGTCTGTGCATCTCGTCTCGCCCGCCGGGCCTCTCGGGCAGTTTCTCAACAGCCTCTCGGCCTGGTTTTGTTCCCCCTGTGTAGAGAAGGACGAGCAAGGTCCCATTTCTGAGGCCTGGGAGGTGGACCCGGGCATGATAACCAAACTCAAGGAGCAGTACAGAAAGGAGCGCAAGGGGAAAAAGGGGGTGAAGAGTAAGTCCCGTCGGGCGTCGCTGCCTCCCTCCTGCTCCTCTCTCTGTAGAGCCTCACTTTCCTGAGTTCAGCCAAAAAGCCTCAAACTAAAAACCAAAACGTTTTGGCTTTTTCTTCCTTTCTTCTTCTTCATCTCCTTCAGCTGCTCCTTATTGTGTCTTCTTCATAGGCATTGGCTCTGTTCTTTTGTCCGTCCCTCCATACTGAATGTCTCCTTTGTCTTCTGGTGAATGTACGACTGTTCCTTCAAAATCTGTCGCCTTTTATTTTCCCACTGAAACAAACCGTAATGGCTGGTGCATGTTTTTCAGTCCCGTTTTAATGTTTCGTTTCATACACACGTCATCTTGTCCATGCTGTCTGCTAGCAGAGATTAGTGAGAGAGTTTGTCTCGTTCTCTCTTCGCCGGTCACAACATCCCCATCACCACCGTCTACATCCTCATCTGTCGGCCGTGTTGATTCTACAGAATTTGGCTGCCGGTAAATTCATATCAAATATCAATCAAGTTTTCCAGTGACTCACTGAAGCGACTCCGCTGAATACTGCAGCTCTCAGAGCACCGGTCCGCTTCAGACGCTGCCTTTCACCGCGGTTTGAATCGTGAGAACTCGCCTTCTGGTTCGTTTAGGGGCAACTACGTTTTTTTTTAAACACGGCTCTCTCCTCCTCTGGTTTAAGTTGAGGTCTATTCCAGCTTATCTGCGCTCTGTCGGATGCGTCGTAGATGTGTGGAGGAGGTTTTTTATACAGGTCTTGTCAGGTTTGGGGTCGTCGTGGCGCAGGGGTTAGAGAAGGTGTGCTGGGAAGCACAAGGTTGGTGGTTCGATTCGAGGCTGCCCCATGTTCCATGTCGAAGGGTCCCTGAGCAAGACACCGAACCCCCTAATTGCTCCCTGGGCAAAAATGTGAAAAAGCCATGGGTTAAAAGTGTAATGTACGTCGCTTTGGATAAAAGCGTCTGCTAAATGACCTGTAATGTAATGTAATGTAATTAAGGGGCGTTTGAGCCAATGCTGTGCTACTATTTGCACAAAAGTTCCCGCTTGTATTAAATGTTTGATTATTAAATTGATATCCACACGTGGTTCCGTAAATGCTTCTCCTGGACTCAGACTAACTAAGCTGTATATGATAATACTCTTTTCCATACAGCCCACACATCTTTCCTACTTCTTTGATTCATCTAACAAGGACTTTCTTTTATTTTCTCCTCTTTTACATCATTTATTAATTAATTTTCTTCCCTTTCAGTGCTGCTTTTCCCCCCCATATTTCCTTTTTTAGCTTGTACTCGCAGCTTTTGAATGAAATACTTTTGGCTCTTTGATTTCTCGCCGCTCTCCATCACCGCGTCAGCTCGCTAACTCTGTCGACCCGACTCGTTAAACAGGGCCGAACCGGTCCAAGCTGCAGGACATGCTGGCCAACTTGAGAGATGCCGAGGACTTGTCCCACATGCAGCCGCCGCCGCCGTCCGCCCCCCAGCCCCGGCCCAACGCGGCCCGGTTCACCGAGCACGATGGGAACCGCCCGGACGAAGGTGCGCAAACACAAACGCCGGCGGATTTTTAGCGATCGGCTCTGTTAGAAAAGAATTCCCTTCACCTCTGGCTAACTGTGTCCGCAGCAGTGGTTCATATGTTTATTCATGGGTTCTTTCCCCCCCAGTTGAGGCGCTGACCTTCCCGCCCACCTCCGGGAAGTCGTTCATCATGGGCACAGACGAGGCCATGGAGAGCGAGCTGGGCCTCGGGGAGCTTGCTGGACTCACCGTTGCCAACGAGGCCGACAGTCTGGCGTACGATGTGAGTAGGAAAAGGGTGGAATAGATAGAAGTGTCACGAGGCCATTTCTCCGGTGAGGGGGAAACTATTTCTGCCTCCCCCCTTTAATCCACCGCAAGTCTACCGAGTCACATCACATGCTGAGAACTTGCCCAGCGTGTGTCAAACAGCTATTTTAAAGGCAGCGTCAGGGAAGCTGCTTTGAAAGTGTAACTTGGGAAGATATATTTTTTTTGTAATAACACAACCGCATGGGTTGCGGCATACTTTGTTAAAGTAACTGCGAAACATTTAATACAGATGTCTCTATGACCTCCATAAGTTACTGAGACCATGAGCGAGAAGATTTGCTATTTCTGCATAGTTGATCTTTGTTCTCCATTTTCTACCAATGAATGTTTTATGTTTTACTCCTGTGTTACTTGGCTTACCCGCTAAGCGCTGAAGGGAGCGGCTTTGGCACGTTTGAGCACCACTGATTATATGTCATGACATGTCATTCCCTCAGATTGGCAACAATAAGGATGCCATGAGAAAAACATGGAACCCAAAATTCACACTACGGAGCCATTTTGATGGCATTCGGGCTCTGGCCTTTCACCCTGTGGAGCCCGTCCTGGTCACCGCTTCAGAGGATCACACGCTCAAGATGTGGAACCTGCAAAAGACGGCGCCTGCCAAAAAGTAGGAAAAGTTGTAACACAAGTTAGATCACTACGCCAGTACAATCAACGGATATACATGTACTGTCTTGATTAGATGTAATTCCTTCCTGTTTGGCTTATTGGGTGTTTGGTTGTCCTTTTTGTTCCTGCAGCAGCAGTGTGAGCATCATTAGAGGGAAAAGTTCTGTTGTGTGGACAACAATCCCATAAGGAAGACAGTTTTACTGCCTTCTGCAGCCCACACACAGTCTGCAGTAATGTGATTTTCTTGCGAGGGTATTACAGGGGAAACAGAAGGAGGATTTCTGCTGTTTAGAAATCTAATTGTCGACATGCATTCAGCTGGCTGTGTTGTGCGTTAACTAATAAAAAACATTTTTTTTTGTCCACAGGAGCACATCTTTAGATGTGGAACCGATCTACACTTTCCGGGCCCACAGGTAAGCCCAATTAACATGCACACAAACTGATCCTGCGTAAGCAGAGACGTTCTGCTAAATGACTCTAAATGGAACCCCAGAGGGGCCGTGCTGAGCGTGGTGATGAGCAGCTCCGGAGAGCAGTGTTTCAGCGGAGGGGTTGACGGGACGATACAGTGCTGGAACACGCCCAACCCCAACATCGACCCCTACGACTCCTACGGTAACGGCGCCGTGCGTTTGGGTTGAATGTGAGGGTTTTTTTTCTAACGGGGGTCACGGTTAGCTGACTGAGACCGTGTCGGGTTTTCTGCAACAGACCCGTCGATGCTGCGCGGAGCCCTGTGCGGACACACAGACTCGGTCTGGGGTTTGGTGTACAGCAGCGCGCACCAGCGCCTCCTCTCCTGCTCGGGAGATGGCACCGTGCGACTGTGGGACGCCAACACCACTTCGCCCGCCCTCGCAGTATTCAACGAAGACCAAAGTAGGGGACTTTGAGCTTATTTTTCTCTCGCTCATATTTGCTTTACTTGACTAGCTGACACAAATGCATCTTCCTGTGCACAAGAGCTGGGAGTTCCCTCCTCGGTAGACCTGGTGAGCAGTGAACCAGCCCACCTGGTCACATCCTTCACTAACGGGCAGATTGGCCTCTTCAACATGGAGACTCGCCAGCTGGTCCTCAGCCTCGAGTCCAATTTGGAGCCGGGTAAGTAATTGCAGCAATTAGACCAATCAGTGAAATGTTCTACTGATTTACAGCCTTATGATGGTAATAAAAAAAACACCTATTAAATTCAGTCATGACCTTGAAGTGGAGTCTGTTATGTTATGTGTGTAAATATATATATGGCTCAGGAGTAGCATCTAGTGGCAGCCGTAGGAAATTCAATAATTAGCAGACTGGCTCTGATCCACAAGGTTTTTCGGATTCACAAAGATTACTAGCAGGGATCAGTGACAACACCCATCTGTGCTTGGGACTCCGGAGAGGTTGAACCACGCTGCTCAAACTATGACTTGACTGTTTACCTGCTGCGCATGCACACACACAACTGAGAGAACCACATTTCTGCTGATTCTACCTTTTGTTGTTCATGATGTCCAATGTTGCTGCTGTTTTGCACCAGGCACTCCGTGTCAGATCAATAAGGTCCTCAGCCACCCGACTCTTCCCATCACCATCACCGCGCAGGAGGACCGACACATCAAGTTCTTCGACAACACCAGCGGGAAGCTGATTCACTCCATGGTGGCTCACCTGGATGCTGTCACGAGCTTGGCCGTAGACCCTAACGGACTTTATCTCATGTCAGGCAGTAAGTACCTCTTGCCTTTTATACATTAGTTCATTGGTGGGTAAAGGTCAATGTCACTGCTAAATATTTAATATATTTAAATACTTAATCCACTTTACATTACATACATTATAATGCTGAACACTAATGCTACAAACGACTTTTGAACATGTTGAACATAAATCTCACTTTAAGTGAAAAGGTAAATAAGATTTTTCCCGACTAGTTTTGCAGTTTGAGGATAAACTGGTTCGTCCTCACAGTTGAACTTCTTGGATGTCACAATAAGTTACATTTATGAATTGCCCCTCCTCCCTCCCTCCCTCCACCACTAGAAACTTGTTTTGTCCTCCGCAGGTCACGACTGCTCAATCCGTCTGTGGAACCTGGATAGTAAAACCTGCATCCAGGAGTTCACGGCCCACAGAAAGAAGTTCGAGGAGTCGATCCACGACGTGGCGTTCCACCCGTCCAAATGCTACATCGCCAGCGCCGGGGCGGACGCTCTCGCCAAAGTGTTTGTATGACGTGGAGCTGCGCGTCTCCCTGCAGCCCCGCTCACCCCATGACCAGGGACCAACAGAGACACGGGAGGGGAAAGACCGTCCGGCATGGTTCCAGTCCCGCCTCTCACCGCCCGCTGGTTTCCTGTCCCGACTGGTAGACTATGTAGCCGCGAGCCTCAAACGGGGGCGTGACTCTCCGCGCAGAGGGTCGGCAGGGAGGCCAGTCTAGAGGACTCCATCTAGCATCCAGGCAGGCCTGGGTGTGACCAGCCGCAGCGCCCCCTCCACCCCCCCATCTACACCCCCACCCACCCACCCGCCCTCCAGACGGACTTAAACTTAACCTCCGTAGCTAGGAGGCTCAGGACAAGTGTTAAAAGAGCGTGCTGTGGAGAAATTAGGTTTCAAGCCGGTCTCCTGCCCCCCCCTCCCCCAGTGACCCTGGACCTTCCCTCTCAGATGAACCAGGTCCGGACCCTTTACTCCAAGTCAGGTTTTGTGTTGTGTTGTTCCAGCGGTGCCGTGGAAGCCCCTCACTTCTTCTCCTCTGCTTCCCTGACGGACTCTGTTTGCTGGCCTGCCTTTATTTTCCTTTTTAAAACACGTGTTGACAAATGTGCCTTTGCTTTAAAAAAGGTCTTGAAAATGTTATTTTAACGAGCTTGTTTTGGGGATCAGAGGGGGAGTGGACGGTGGACAAATGGAGCTGGTTGTGACAATGTTGTTGATTTTAACATTGGATGTAAAATTACAAATGCTTATAATAAACAAAATATATATTCAGTCTTAATTTACTGTGCAGCGTGAGTTTGAGTGCTCCTTTTTGATAAGTGTGGTTGGGAATCAATTTTGTGCGTTTCACTGCAAAGCTGGCATAGTGATACAGACCATTAAATATAATACCTGTTTGTTAAATTCAAGTAACTGTACACTTTAGAAATAAGTTAACAAGCATATGTGTCCAAAGTAAACCATCTTGGTTATATAATTATAATTCAAACTTGGTTCTAAATGTCCATTTTGGGATGAACTAATTGCTTTTGGCCAGTTTGCTCTTGTTTGACTTGAATGGCTTGTACTGTTTGTAGTTTTCCCAAACTGTGCGGATATGCTCGACTACAATGTGACTTATCCTGGTCAGATGTATACAGTAGTCCGGTGTTTAGCAGGAAAGTAGTTCAATACTAGGGGACTACTTTGAAATAACAAGTTCACCATCCAACACATACAGGAGAAAAGTCCTGGCAAGTTCCAGTTTACTGAGGACAAGACTCTCTGGGGTGAGAAACAAATCAATCAAGATGTCGTTCGTGTAGAGTTCAGCTTCAAATGAGCCATTTTCTCAGTCACTGGTTTGTACATGAAAGTATGTTCAAAATAAAACCTGCTGTAAAATGTTACCTGGTCTCTGATGTTGGTTCTCTGACTGCTCATCAGTGCCGATCAGGGTGTTACTGATCTGTGTTACAGCTCGAGCGCTGTTCTTTTATCCTGTGTATATTTTTATACTTTGACAAATGGGCTATTAGCGCCTTTTGCTTTCAGTGTACTAAAGATGAACACGATTGTCACTGGATTGCTTTGATACTTAACAAACCTCACACCCCACTGAGTTACAGGACGTTTGAAGCAGCATCTTTTATTCCCTTTTTGTTTTTTAAATGCTTTATAATGAATAATGTGAATTGCATGCTGGTCTCAATCTAGACCTGTGTGTTTTATGTCCAAGCTACGAATCCGGTAAGGAAAGCAACTTTGAAACAAATTGGATCATCAAACATTCAGAAGACATCGTTAAGTTCGCTTTATTTTTTGTATTTTATTAAAAATTGCAACAAAAAAAAGGATCAATTATGAACATAAGCAAAAGGCTTTTGATATGCATATGTACAAACGGTATAAAGGGAAGAAAATCATAAATACTCTTTCATCAAAACTTAGAAATGTCTGCAATATTAAATGCAACCACACTGTTAAAAACGATGGATGTGAGGAATTGCGAGAAGCCCGTCGATGATCTGCCATCACTCTGCAAAGATAAACCAGCTCCTCTTTCCTCCCTTCTCACAAAAGTCCACTTCTTTGTCCCATGTTGTTGATTTGCCTTTCAAATAATCCTACTTTCAGCTCCCACTCATACCGAAAGCCACATCAGCACCACAGCCTCGGAGAGGAACGTTAACAATCTATCAGGAAGATTAAAATGCACCATTTCTAAGTGTGTCCTCTCTACAGAGAATTGTATAAAAAGCACCACATTATTTAACTTTATGAAGTGTGTTAAGGCATAGGAGGAAGTGCTAGGCATGCTTTAAATCTACACTAGCAAGCACCGTATCCCAGTGGGGCAGCTTTGTGTCTGTTGATCGTTTTGAACTGCTGCATAATAAGGCCTCCTTTGTAAAGGTTCTGTAAGTTGTGTTTCAGGGCTTTTACTTTTTAGTTTTGCCAAAACTCCCTTTGGCTTCTCTACCTCGGCCGCCGGCTTTCACATGTTTGTAGTTATAAATTCTAATCATCAGATAATCCCCAAATTTTTTTTACAGAAGGTCAGGGGTCAGCTAAAAAGGGAAATAAAAATCTAAAAAGACGTATGTTTTAGAAAGGAATTAACACCATCTTCTAAATCTTACAACCCTGACATTAATAAAAACCCTTATTTACAACTTATAAACCCTAAATGAAGGATGACCTATTAAATAATTAGTAATACTCTGTTCTCTTCATGGCACCAACAGAGTACACAGTAAACACAAGACGTCAATAAGTCTGTCAATGCAAACCATTTAGCATTAGTCTGTATGTTTGGGGTCGAATGCGGATTCACTTTAAAGTTTGCTTTGTCCAAACGCACTATCCTCACCCTAGTTTTAAAACACCCTCCCTGTTCAAACGTGGCGGCGCTGCAGCCAATCCGGCGCCGCCATCTGGGCAGCAGAGTGAGTCAATTTGCGAACGCGGTTCTGTTAAGACGGCCCCCCGGACCTCCCGCCCCTCCGCCCGCCCCGGCCTCAGTTCCTGGGCTGGGAGTTGAACTCCTGGCAGATGTTGTGGATGATTTTGGGAACAAACTTGTAGAGGTTGTCGAACTCGTCCACGAAGAAGGAGTGGTCCTTGTCGGGGTCCGTGGCGATGTACTCCAGCTCATCCTGGGCCGCCCAGGCGATGCCGATGGAGTAGGCGATCACACCTGGGGGGGGGGGTCACAAGGAGGGACAGCGGACGTGTGCGTTCATTTGACCTCAAACACACGCACAATGCATGAGGGAAGTACTTTTTTGAATGATCGCATTTTGATTCTGCAGTTAAAAGTCTTCTTTTTATTATTATCGTGCATCTATTATTTTATTTAGTGATGTAAACATTTTTTTAAAGTGCGTATCCCCCTGAAGCCTCGACCTCTGACCTTGACGGTGGACAGCCAGCGCCGGCACCCTGACGTCGTCGTAGGAGCGCCCGTCTGTGATGACGATCATGATCTTGCGCTTGTTGGGTTTGGATTTGCTGAAAAGCTGCTCCGCGGCGAAGGTGATGGCGGCACCGGTGCTCGTCCCGCCGCTCCAGTAGTTGATGCGCTTGATGGCGTTCAGCAGCTCGGCCTTGTTGTTGTACTGGCCGAAGCCCAGCTCCAGCCTCTGCTCGTAGGTGTACTGCACGGCTCCGACCCTCGTGTCCGTGTCCGAGATCTCAAACTCCCGCGTGATGTTGGCGACAAACTGCAGCACCGTGCGGAAGTTTCCCGTCCCCACGCTGCTGGAGCCGTCGATGACGAAGGCGATGTCGTTGGCGTTGACGCACGTTTTGCTGCACACCAGGCGGTCCGTGTCGCACACTCTCTTCACCAGGGGCTGCACGGCCTTCCTCAGGGCGAACCAGCTGGTCACGGGCAGGGAGAAGAAGCCGTTGGTCCGACACACAGCCTGCGGGATTGAGTCGGGGGAGGGACACTGTTTCAAACCGCCATGTTTAATATAAGCATCGATACACCTCTGGGACATCGCTCCACCTTGTCCACAAAGTTGGTCTCCACCAGGTTTTGCTTCTCGTTGTCGTCGGCACCCTCGATGGTGACGAAGAAGATGTTGATGCCCGACTCGCGGGCGAGCCGGGACGCCTCCTCCACCTTGTCGGTGGGCCAGCCGTCCACCAGCACCACGGCCACGTTGGGAGCGGCTCCCCGGTTCCCGTTGGCGTCGCTGAAGTAGTGCTTGTTGATGTAGGAGAGGGCCTTTCCTGTCGGGGCACCAGGGGGCAGCAGGAAGACCATTAAAAAAAGATCCACTTTCTGTACTGGTCTGGGGTTCAAACACAGGAATGCGTTAAGTATAAGACATGGCGAGAGAGAAGAACCAATCTCTTGTTCAAAAAGTTGTTATTCAACCAATGAATACAAATACTGAGTGTAAAAATGAACCAAAAGACGATCTAAATTTACACATGCTTTTGAAAGCACTCCTAATATGCTGTTAGTGGACTGCGGTTTTTTGGAAGCTCAAAAACAGTGATATCCTCTCATTTAGTCCGTCACTGTCTTGTTGGGGGTCCAGACCAAGTCCCCGCTGGGGACCACAACTTCTCACGCTCACGCAAATGCAAACCCTGGATGCCACCGGATCCAGCGCACATCCACCCCAGATGCACATGCATGCAAAGTTTAGCAGGTTGTAAAGAGACATGTGGCAGCGGGTGCATCACGGTGACGCACCAACCAAAACACAAAAACAGCACTCCTCTGAAAGCCGACCCCTTGGGGCTGGTAAAACCAAATGCTTTTTGGTCGGAGCACAGGGAAAACAAGGCTTATAGACACAGGGCTATAATTTAGCTAACAGTGTCTCGCAGCAAATTTAGATTTAATTCTATCCTTGCATTTCAAAATGTGCCCTCGTAGTAAACCGTGCGATAATTGGAGCTTCTTCTCCTTTCACACTTTCGCATTTGTAGGCATCTGTATCCGGAAGCTTAACTGCGGATCACTCACCTACGTTGGAGAGGCCTCCCTTCTGCCCAATCTTTTCTACGGCTGACTTCACCTCTCTGGAGTTGGAGTAAGACCTCAGACTGATCTCTGTCACAGGCTCGTCCCTTCAGAAAAAAACAAACAAAATGAATCATTATCTTTCCTTACCTAAAAATGGTCAGTGACACAGGAGGAGCAGTGAGGTTACCCGTATTGGATGATGCCCATCATGGGTCCAGCCACACCCACGCTGATGACCTGAGCCACCTCAGACAGGAAGTCCTTCTGGATCTGAAAGCGCCTCTTCCCGATGCTCCAGCTCCCGTCCATCAGGAAGGCGAGGTCCACCATGCAGTCTACAAAATCAGTGTATGTGACATTCGTCACAACTTTGACGCCATGCAGCAGTCGTAGCAAGAAAGTCGACGTGACAGAAATGCAAGGTTTAAAGCAAGGTTTTACTTCTGACACACACACGGGGGTTGATTTACTCTTTCATTGATGGACAATCGGTGTTGAAACATAGAGATGAGCTTTCCAAAGCAGGGACGACACGTATAAAAACAATGCATTTAATCCAATTGTCTTTGAAAATGATTTATTATGAACAAAATCACTTGTAGGGTCTCAAGGATTCATACGTTTCGGTGAGAAACACTGAATGTAAACCACTGTTTGTCGATTGGAAAAGTCCAGAGGGGGCATTTAATCTGCCACACAATTTGAAGCTACTACTATGTAACAAATGCTGTGCCCAAATGTTGATGCATTAAACACATTTTGGAATAGCGGATTGAGGGCCATACCGGGGTCGCCCTGAGACACAGGCTCCGGGGCTCTGGGTGCAGGTTCCTGCTGCCTCACGTTGAAGCCTGAAAATCAACAAACACACAAGTTGCTCTTCTGCTCAAATCTGCTTTTCACACTTTTCACCGGACCTTTAATAACCATGTGCCATGTGCATTCTCACAATGATTGAAGCCCAATCTCTCGTACAGCATTTATTTGGAATTCGGGGAAAAAAATATTTAATATATACTACTTATACTACAAAGTAAGAGAAAAGGTTCAAATTTCCATTGAACATGAAAGTTAGTGCCAAATGGACTCGTACTTAAAAGACTTCTCTAGTCAACACTCCATCACACGCATCCTCTGATTGAATCTCAACCCACTCCAAGTCCCTTCAATTACAGGCTGAGCAGAAAACCAGAGGCTTCTTTTCTTTGCACGGCCTTGGTTTGGATCGAACTCACGGTCTAAACTGAGGGCTCTTTTGGCGCCCAGAGAGGAGCAGTGCCGGCCTTCTCACCTGATTCATACGGATTTGTGTCTGGCTTCCAAGCGTCCACTGGCTCCACTGCGTAGACGATATCATACAAGCTCAGCATTAGCGCATTTCTTTTTACCACAAAGCACCCAGTGATGAGCTGGAAAAACCCACCGTGGTAGCGACATCGAAAGGTTGATTTCTTTGTCAGCTTTTTTTCTAAGCTCTGCTCGCTATTGGACGGCTAAAGCTGCGGCAGTTAGGAAAAGCTTAGAACTTACTGAATAGCAAAGCAAATGACAAAGGAGACGGGATGCTTTGTAGATGAGAGGTGATGCTTCCCTGGATTCAAACAGGTGTTTCGGGCGGCGGTGAGAACTGCTCACCTCTAGTTTGAGTTTTGTCCAACGGCACTTTACGGGCTCCTTCTGCGTCAGCGGAGCGAGGCACTGAAAGTGAGGAAATCACCAGTGAGACTGTAAATAGGTGATTCACAGCCAGACGGCATCAGCCTCGTGGCATTTTTGTGTCATCAAACAGATGGGACCGCGTGCTGGAATGTGAAAGAATGGTCTTTTGTCTGCTCTTTCGTGTTTTTGTCAATGGGCCATAATGTAAGAGTTTTTTTTATTTTCTAATGATAAATAAAACAAAAACAAACAAATTTACTTGACGTCCATTCCGGAAATCAATGGAATTGTTTGACAATTGTTTGAAATACCTACGTTCAATTTCTTGCTGGCATTGACATTGATACAACCCATTTAAACACTAAAACAAACAGGTTTGATCATAAAATGGGAATAAGAGAATGTGATTATATCTGTGTGTCACTGAGAGAAAACAGTCAAACGGTATTGACATCTACAAAATTACAACCCGTAAATATGACAACATTAAATAAAAGAACCCCAAGGCTTGTTAGTTCCCGGTAAAAAGAATTGAAAAGCACTTACGGTACGGTCCAAAGTTATAATACCAGCGCTCATATTCTGAGATATCAGGCCTGTGATCCCGAGCTAGAGGAGGATGTTGTGAAACCTGTTAGTATTCCCACAATGACCCTCAGAGGGAAGTCCTCACATTTCCATGGTTGTGATCGGTCACAGATTCTTCCCAGCCGATCCCATCCCGGCGAAAACAACGGCTCTCTGCACAATCATCACTCACAGCTTCTCTCTCTTTCTCACTCACACGTGCACAAACCAACATTTCACTTCTCCGTACTCCACACCAGTCCCTCACACGGCAGGCAGATGGCATGTAGAGACCATGTACATTGCATGTACTTACACATGTAGCCAAGTTAGAACGTACATACATAACTCTATTAAAGTGACACGAGCATGCTGTGTTGGGCTTCGACAGAAATGGATGCAAGGTGTATTAACCTGCCCCAAGGCAGGGCGGGGGGGGGGGTACAGTATACAGCGAACTGCAGTGTTGTGCTGCCTCAGACTTTGATTTACCTGTAATCTCAGGTGTGTCCGTCTCACTCCACGTGTATCCTGAGTCTGGGGCTGCATAACTAACATCTGAACATGCAGCAGAAAAGTTGGAGGCATCAGCAAATACAAATTAGCCCACTAAACATGAAAAGGTAGAATGCCGTTAACAGTTGATCTGCGATTATGAAAGTTGTGATTAGTCCGAGTTGAAATGAGCAGAGACGAGCCAGGACGGTTAGCTCACAGGTATCCTCAAGCTCTACTTACTAATAGTGAGTATTAGAAGTTTATTCATAACGTCATGATATGTTCAAATGTAAAAGCGTGTGTGTTTTTAATTGAGAAACTCGTATTACGTTACACCTTGAAAGTTGGATGTGTTCAAAAGAAACCTCGCTGACGGCAGCATTCAAAGAAAAGAAGGAAATTCGCATTAGAAATGGATCGTCAGAGAATGGTCTATTTTATACTTGGTACCTGCTGGATGTCGAGCCCCTGGGAACCAATCAGGACGAGGCAAGGAGGGAGGCGGCCAATCCCTTCTGGGAAAAGCTGTGCGGAGGGAGATTAGAAAGCCGTGTTCAGCATAGAGGAGGAGCATACTTGTGACCCCCAAACCTGCCACCTTACTAGTGGGGTGTGCACAAGATGTTCAGCCTCTGACTGACTACTGCGTGTTTAGTGGCAGACTAGACAGTGAGTGAGCTCACTTAAGGGTTGGTTTAATGAGGTTTAGTCTCACTCATTGGATTCCCACCGTACTCCGTTGTCCACCTGCTCCTGGCGGCAACACAATTTGTCCTCGCTGACGCCCCAGTTTTAACTTGAAAACGCATCAGACTCTTTAATCGGCGAGTTCATTCAAAATGCGATTGAATACCAACCGCTGAGCAAAGCCGTAAAACACTGCATCCGTCCGGACCGAGAGAGGCCCGAGCCGTGACACCACGCGTCAGTTCGCCCCCTCCCTGGGGTGGATTTAGCCTCGGCTCTGAGATTCCCATCCAGAGGCAGCAAGAGGGCAAGTGCCTTTGTTGGGCGGGTGAGGCAGGGAGAGCGCAGCCCGAGGCTCAGTGAAGCGTGAGCGTATTATTCTAAAGACGGTGTCAAACTAGGGACAGTGTGGATAGCAGGACGCGGAGATTAGCCCAATCTGCCGCTGGTCCAAGGCCCGGCGCTATGCAGCAGACAGAGGTGTTTTTCTGATGGAACAAGTGTCTGCGGCCAAAAGGTCAGAGCAGGATCGAGGTAGCTTCCCTACTTAGAGCTGCAGCTCGATCTGCAATATGTTTTTTTTCAGGATTTATATGTAAATTCTTTGTAGTAAGTAGTAACACAACACCAACATCTCAAAATACTGTTTTTCACCAATCTTTGTGGTTGTCAAGTGGGCAAATCTTATTTCAAATGCAAGGCTTGAACAGGGTCAAAACACCTCGACAAAGCCGAGCGATACGTGTGAACATCTGTTACTGGGTAGCCGGGTGGCGAAGCAACTGGGGTAGAAAAACCCTTCAGCTCATAAACTCCAAAGCCGGCAAGCATAGACCTGGCTGGAAAGACAGAGAATCCCTGCCGGCTCCGGGGGCGCTGATCCTCACCTCTGACATCCGACCTTAAGCTTAAAGAATTTCCCGAAGGGGTTCTATAAAGTTCCACGTTATTATCAACCAGCTGCCAATCTGAATAGTTGTTTTCGGCACTGATCAGACGCTGTAAATACGCTCAGCAGAAACAGGTTGGTCAGATAAATGATGCACCGGCTTGAAAGCTTGAAATCGCATCATACAATCAAATATCATTTAGATGGATACAGCCCTCTCTAAATTTAGGGATTTATGGTTTTGCATTCCACAGGAGCAAAAACAGCAGCGCATTCTTCAGCGAGCCAAACCGAGCCCGGGTTGGATGTCGGGAGCGTCCTATTCTCGACAGGCTGCAGATTGGGCCCAGGTCCTGCAGCGCTGTGGATCGGGTCATACGCGTCTCTCTGGGAGCAGCGTCGCGCCACTTGGTGCTGCTGCTTGGACCTCTGTCCCTGTCTGGCAGCTTTTACATGGTGAAGGGGAGGAGGTCGGCCCAGATGGGATCCGTCTTAAGATGTTGTTACAGTACCGACATTTTCTACTCGTGGTCTTTTCCATAAGAGGGAGTTGAGAAATTAGAGTTGCCTCAGAATAAGTCAAAAAGGGTGCAAGATGAATTCAGGACGATGACACCACATTGTGATCCAATCTCACAGTGGTTAAACATTAGTGATGCTTTATGAAACACACAGTTGTTGTTTTTCACCCTAGTTGTTCCCGTTTGGTCGGACCTGTCTACTTCGCTACGTCAGGGTGGAGAACTGCTAGGGCATCGTGGGACATCCCGCGCGGGGTCTGGAGACACTTACCGGGGTTTGACTGGCTCATCGTTGGAGTCCGCTCGGGTGGAGCCGGCTGAACCCTGTTAAAGGCTGTTTGTTGCAATGAGATGAAATAAGAAAGAGGAGGCAGAGAGGTGGGGGGTGAGTTTCAGTTTGGGTTCTCCACCCACGACGTAGCATTCAGGGCCCATTTACAGGCCTTAACGCTGCTTCATTTAGTTTTTTCATCTCAGAAAATGAAAACAGGGACGAGAAGATGCGCCCGATGAACGACGACAGTGGTATTCGGCAAAGGAATGTCAGGTGAGGTGCTTGATGGAGTGGATATGTGGTGACCCCGGGGTGAAGATTCACAGGGGCTTACGGGTGTGGGTACAGGGGTCAGACTTACAGCAGTCATCGTTTTTTCTGAATTCTTGTTCCTACGAAGTCATCTGTTCCCCCCCCCCCCCACGAAGCAATCGACCCACCTTCCCTGTCAGCCCCACCATGTGTGTACCTGCTTGTTACTCTGTTTCTGCGTGTGTTACTGATGAGGCTGACCTGGGACAACTGGAGAGGACGGTGGTCTCCTGATATGCGAGCCGGCCTCCGGCCTGCGCAGACCCGCGCCTAAGATGTGGAGACAAAAGCGTTTTTCACGAGGCAACATGTAACAACACGGATCGTTTGTATCTGCGCTGACAGTGAATGTAAAACCACTGGGTTAAAAAAAAATGACCTTGAAAGACAAGAGAACAGATGTTCTATAGTACAATCTGGTCCGGCCCTGTTAGAAAACTAGTAAAAGCCTCTAAAAGCAGCAGTACAGAGATGCCATGCAGAGTATACATGTACATGTATCAGTACAAAAGAAAGACTGCTGAGATGGTTTCGGGTTGAGGTGGATTGAAAAGAATCCAAAGTTTAAAGCTTGGTTTACCTGTGCCGGCACGTTGTGGGAATCTATTTGGATAGGCACTTCCTCTGAATACTTTAAAGAAACGTCATCGTTTAGTTTACAGCGCTATATGTGGACTGTGCTGCTGAGCTGCAGAATCAGTAGAAGAGTTGACGTACCTTGGACGGGCCTCTTTCCTTGCTCGTTCTGTGACTGCCCTATCCCAGTGTGAGTGTGGACAAACACATTTGAATGTAATTCATTCATTCAAGTTGCTTTAAAACAGTGAAATGAACTGATTTCCATTATTAGATACACGAGTTGTGACTTTAAACTAACATCAAAACCTTAAATACCAAATACATCAACGGACTTGTGTACCGCAAACACCCTGTATCTTCCTGCATACCAAAATAACACCTCATGCCTGAGTTCAACGCTCTTTGACTTGTTTCACTTACTTGAGGCAAGGTATGGGTGACTGCTGCCTGGATAGAAGGATGACAAACGGGGTGCCAAAATGGAGAGGAGAAAGATGATGATGTTACAGAAAATGAAAGAGAGAGAGACGGTCGGGAGGTGGTCTGGCACACCGCCCATCTAATTTACACACATACCTTAAGATATTGCAGCATTGTCTACTCAGTGTAGCGGCATTTCCATCCCAAACAGCGTCGCAGTGATTACCGTCTGATAATGTTTGCATTTAATAAGAGTGATGAAAGGTCCGGTGATCAAGTGTACAGGCAAGTCAGTCAAGCAACCGAGCAGCACCGTGCAAACTTCATCACAGACCAGCAGTAATTTGTCATAATTGCAGTTGTGACTTGCAATTACCAGCTGCAATCATTCAATCTTCATCACGCAGTTTCGCACAAATGAAAGCTTGTTCTGGCTAACAGGATTTCTAGTTACAGGGCGGCTAATGTTAGTCAGACGTCAGCTATAGGCGGCACGCTGGCTGCAGTGCATCTTCTGTGTGGATTGGTATTATTGGATCATTAACAGCATCCTGCGTCCAAGTAAGTACACAATCCTGCACATCACATACACAGATCCATTGATTTAGAGGAAAGAATCAGCTTTTTGTACATATGTGTGCAAAACCAATTAAAATCACCTGCATCCCTAACTTTGTGGACAGCAGCCCGAGGCTTGCTCGTAGTGGGTGGAGGCGGAGCTGTGGTGGTGGTGGTGGTGGTGGGAGCTGGTGTGGTGGTGGTGGGAGCCAGTGTGGTGGTGGGCTCAGGTGTAGTCGTCGTGGTGGGTTCAGGTGCCGTGGTCGTAGGCAGCGCTGTGGGGACACGCGTGGGGGATTTGATCAATGCGGCCGTGTGCAAGATGGATGGAGGTGGAGGAAGACGGAGCCTCCGCAGTCTCCTCTCATGCATTCTTGACATTCTTCGACAGACCGCGGCTCCACGACTCCCCATTCACCCTGAGTTCAACAAGGCGGACTCAAGCGCGGGGACATTTGTGTTCGTAGGAATCCTTTGTCCTCAGAATGTATGTTTTAACCAAATATCTCAGTTTTAACCAGCATTACTAGATTGTGTTTTTCTTTGCTTACTTGATCCTCATCAAATTGCCCAAACTGCACTGCAACAAAATTCAGATTAATGTAAAAGATGTCGGAGGATGTCGGTGTAAAACGATCCCTCTTCTCACATGGTTTCACGTAGGTCGGTCTCGACGGGACGTAGTCCAGAGTCGATGGGTAGATCACTCCTTTCTTGGGCTTCCCAACTGAAACACAACAGATCCAGCTGCAGGTTGGACGGATGGCGCTGAACAACCGTGTCTACCGCGTTGTCCTCCCATCGTAATACCTGAGACCACAAACGACTCCCTCCACTTAGGCAGAGACAGAGAGCGCACGCCATTGGAGTTACTGCCCTTGTACGCGTTCTGCCCCGCCATCTTCCTCACAATCACCTTCCCTCCCGTGTTGGTGATGACGCCGCTGTGGACACAACGTGTGTTACTGGATATTCGCTTCGACCGCCACGGAGCGCTTAATGTGACATTCGCCACGGGGCTGTTCACCTGTGGATGGCTGCGTTGCAGATGCTGGAGATGGAGGCGAACACGCCCGTCCCGTAGACCTGCTGCCTCGTCTCCTTACATTGAGCGGGACATTTGGCTATGAACTCTGGGAGATTGATCTTTCCTGCTCTGACATCACAATCTATGGATGGAACAACTGTGTAGAGAAGGAGAAGTAGAGCATCGGGGAAGACCGAATATTAGACAGGTCAGGGCCGTTGTTCAGATGCTGGGGTTAAATATAAAATATATATAAGAGGTTTCGATCGCAGTTTAGTAAGAGCGGAAGCTGTTTGTCGATGAATTGAAGAATTAATTGATAATGAAAATGAAAAGCTATTTTGATAATCAAAGTATTGTTTGCTATTTCTCAAGGGGGAGCATTTTCTATATCACATATTTTTTAAATCTTTTCCCAGCCTGTAAATCCGTACTGAAATATTTTACATAACGAAGTGATTTACAGTCTGTATTTTTGGAATAAGTGGATTTCAGTGGAGACAATAACACGTGGTGACACTGAGTGAGATTAAAGGCCTGCTCGTGATGACGTCTACCTTGTTTGGGTTTCTTTGGCTTGGCCCAGCAGGCAGAGGACAGCAGCAGCGCTGCGGGTCGAGGCAGAGGGAGTTTCACATTATAGTCGACAAAAGTATTGTAATCAACAGTCTGTTTACTGGTCGCGCACAACCTCTGTGACTGGGGAACACGCGGAGCAAGGCGGGTTGCTCACCGAGACAAATGGCCGCGAGCGATGATCTGATCATGATGGGTGGTGTGCCGTCCCAGCAGTCCAGCCAGGTGTCCTCGCGTAACCTCTCGACCTTAGAGAGAAGAGACAGCAGCAGGATGTCACCGTCGTCCTCTGAAGCCCGTCTCCTGCTTCCTGTTTACTTGCTGAAAGTGGCTTTTGGTCGCTTGATTCAATATTTAGAGTGTTGGCTGTAAACAAGAAGGCGTAAGCGTGTTTCTCAGAGACACTTTTCAGAGACTTTTGGATAACTTGTGGATTTTAACACAAAGCTGCAGCATCCAGCATCCCCGAAAAAAAATGTGGCCAAGTAAATTTTGCAAAGGGCTGCCTTTGTGAACTCAAACACGAGCATCTCAAGACGTCATCCCTGAACAACGCAGGTTTTAGGGAGTAATGATAACGCGACAACAGGAATGTCCGAATTTCAACCAGGCAGTCGGATTTAGCGCTCTGCCGGGACTAAATGGGAGAGCGCTCGCAGTCCCTGCACCGTGGCGGGGTTGGTGGGATGGAGGTGATGAATGAGGCCTCCCTGTTAACAGAGGAATGCTTTCCCTCCCACAGGGGCACCAACGCGTCTGTCAGTGCCGCCACACTCCTGCAGGTTCAATCTGATCAAGTGGTCGTATGTGATCATCCAGCTGAGACGGGGGGTCACACGCGATACAGTTCAGACCAGAAAAAAAGGCTATTAGGACAACGCCAACCTGGGATGAGAAGAGCCCCAGTTGACCCCAGGAAGTATTGCCAGGTTGGGCTTTTGATTGTTGATGGAATCTGCCGATTAAATATATATATATATATATATATGTACAGTATATGTATTTATATAAGCATGTCCAGATGATTTCAGTTACTGCCAACTAAAGTAAACAGGCAGGTTATATGTTTGCCCACGTATCTAGTCTCTATGTTCTAACCATTCCTTTGAAAAACACATTATGCTATATCGAAAAGCCTCCCCGTTCCGTATCTTCATCACGTTGGTGAAATCATCCTTAGTTCTCTATTTCAGCTGCGTGAGGTGCTTGTTGTGTAAGTTCGTGATTTCTCATTTACTGATGTTTTTCGGTTCATGAATACACGCAACAAACCGACATATCGTGTTAAGGTGAAATTAATAAAGCTTCAGTTGGCAGTGATTGGACTTTCCCGAATGCAAGCCTCTACATATTTATCTGACATTCATGAGCGCTGACATGATTTTTCCACGGTGCTGTGCTCTGACAGGCAGATGGATCGCTGCTGCGCGGTCAGGACTACAATTTGTCCTCTCGGGGTAAGACAGCCGAGGCCGGGAACAAGCTGGGACAGATGCATCTGCACTACGGGACGACCTGCAGCATTTGCGAGGTGAGTAAGCGCTTCACTGGATAATGCAAACTACAAAACTGATCGGTCATATGTCACCTGCAAGGAAATCTAAACCGCGAACAGCATGTTCATCAATGTAGAGCAACTTCCACTCTCTTTGAGAGAAGAAAAACCCTTTAGGTGCAGGCACCAGGTCATTGTGGGACTAAATGAAATGTTCAAAAATTACAATCATTTCAGACGTCTTGATTTGTGTTCTCAGTGTGAGCCTATAAATGCCTCCTTCTCCAAGCAGTGAAATGTGGATTAAATGATATCCTTTGACAAACACCGCAGGGAGTTTCCTGTACCGAAAATAATGGATCCCGAGGGTGCTCATAGACACACACAAGCACACGCACAAACACACAAACCCGTTCAACAAAAGGATAAAAGGGAGACTCGCCACCTTACCACAGCAATGAATCAAAGCCTGTTGATGTTAAACAATAGATCAAGCGAGTGTGGTATGCATAACACAGCGCCCGCAGGCCTCTGCACTGCCGGCGTGCAAACTGAGCATCTCTGCATCTAATTTCTGCTGGGTGGGGACGACAAGTCAGACGGTGAAAAACAGAGTGCAAAATAAGCAGAGTGATTTGCACAACCGCTTGAAAAGATGAAAGCATCTGTGCGCAGAGCTCAGTCACCCAGCAGCTCAGACAGGTCGCAGTCTGAGGAATAAAAGCAATAGCATTCACCCGACAGCAGTTTTGCTGGACTGCTATTGCAGGTAAATTCCCAGTGATTTTTTGGGGTGTGAGATCTAGAAATCTGATAATACAGGTAAAAGTGTCACGGGTACGCGGTGGAGAAAAAGGCAAACAGGATGAGCGTTAGCTGCCTGTGCCTGTTTCAAAGGACAGCGCACAACGGGTCCACCAAGCGGGGACACACTCTTCAGACACACAATGGCGGGGTGCGCCTCAGAAGTGTTGGAAGGACGCACTGAAATTCGTGTAATCACTCCCAGCTTTTTCATCAGTAGAGGTGAACCGCAGGGCTTATACAGCGTCACGCCAAAACACAGGGACTGAATTTTAATCCTCCTCCATTTCAGCCGTACCCACATTCCTTTTGTGGGGTGGCCAGGGTGAGTGCAACAAGGGAAAGGACAGAAAGGGGCCGAGGCTTGTTTCAGTATCACGATTCATGACCCATAGAACCTGGTTTCACAGTGCTCCTCACCCAGTGCCAGGAGCAGTGAAACCCCAGCATTCATAGGTGTAAACCATGTACTGTAACTATGTTATATGTGCCAAGCACACGAAAGAACCACAGGAGAGATTAGAGAGCCAACATGTCTCTACAAGGTCATTTCTCGACCCTTTTGGGCCGGGGCTGCTGGGACAGTATTTGTTTATCAAGCACAGAACAGGCTGAATTACTTTAATTCTTGGCACCGGCTCGACTGCAAGCCAGAGCCTGTCGTCTGGTGCTGGACGCGTTGTATAGAGACCACCTGTGCTTAATCAAACCATGCAGAAAAGGCAGGAAGAATACACAAAGACTGTCAAACATCATGTGCAAGCAATAGAAAAAGAAAAGCTCAAGAATTTCACCCCAGGGGTTTAGTAATGGGAGATTTTCCTAAATAAATGCTTGGACTAGGGGTATAGAAATAGAAATAAATAGAAGCTGGATCATTTCACAAAGCTCATATTTTACAATCAGCTCTGTAGGCTGCTGTGTGAAGGGTCATGTGGCTCAATTCACCCAACTAAAACCCCGAGTTGAGGAAAGAGGAAGGGGGTATGAGAAAAAAATAAATAAAAAAAAATAAAATAAAATGGTAACAAAATGTTGTGTAAATTGAATGAGACGAATGTCAGCAGCGACGCGCTTATTTATCCAGCCGTCAAATCTCACGAGGAATCAACCGCAGTCGCACATCGCAACAAAGTTATTGACAAAAAAAATCTCGCGTTGTTTCTTAAAACATCTTACAGAACTGTTTTCAGAAGTGCTCAAATTTGCATTGAATATATATTAATGGCATCATCACGAACCACTCAAAAAAAAAGAGTCGGCAATTCATTCACGCCACGCAGCAGCAACACAACCCCCCCGGTCCGCTTTGCGACTTGTAGCTCTGTTCTTCATCGTCGTATCTCTATGAACGCAAACTCACCTGAAACGGGACAGTTTTCCTCCGGCCGTTAGAATGAAGTAATGAATAATTCCCCCCCGAATCCTCACTCTTTCATAGAGAAGCACAGCCGGACCAGCGCTGAACTCTTGTTCCACCTGTAGTGCTGCTGCGGATCGGAGCGCTCATTGACTGGAGGGGGGGGGCACAGTGCCCCTCCTTTGCCCGTCCCACTTCAGGCACCTCGCCCAGGAGCATCCTTTCGTTGGCTTCTTATGTCGTCTTTTTTCATTCGGAAGAATACATGAATTCACAGTTTGAGCACGCAGTGGAATATGCGCTCTTTAAGCTGTCAGAAAACCAAGCAATGATTCCGGTTACAACTCACTCATCCCTTCATCTGCTGGAGGACTAATGAACTAAGAGCAGTGTGTAAACGCTCTCCTCTTCAGAGAAACAGACACTTCAGACCGCATCCCGGCTGCAGCATTATATGGATGGTTATGTTGAAGCTGAGCGTTTTATTAAAACTGCCTATCGTGCGTGTGATTATGGTGTTTGCAGAAAAGCAGAAACCACCCCAGAAACTTTATTTTCTATTGCTAAAGATTAAGCTCCAGTAGATAATTGCCTATTTTTCTTGCCACTAAAAAAGCAGATCAGATGTTGTTTCAAGTATCAAACAAGATTCTTCATTGAATGGAGAATATTATTATAGACAGGCGGACAAAGTGAATTCTGGCCTTCATCAGTGAACTATATATATATATATATATATATATATATATATATATATATATATATATATATATATATATATATATATATATATATATATATATATAGCCCTCGGGGACAGTACAAGAAATCATAGATTTTAGATTTAGTGCCAGCTCATGCTTCAGGGCAGTTCAGTATTCCCAGATGTTATCTTACATCTGCCTCACTAAATTACTGACTGAACATCCCATCTGCTGGAGATATTCAGAGCAGATAGTATTAAATAAGTTATGCTTTTCTCCACGCTATCTGCCGCTGTTACCAATGTAGATTGAATGAAAAGCAAAGCTGCAAATGAAAATCTTTGCATCAACAAGTCTGAAATCAGAATCAGAATACAATTTGATAACATTGATTACACATACAGTTTATTAACACATCTCCTCTTGTAATTCCGGCATGGTCCTTAGAGTCGGTCACACCAGTACTCTGACGTTTCTATGTGGGAGGGCAGGTCAATGTTAAGGTCCCCCTGCGGGTCCGTCGCAGGCCGCTGAGGAGGGTTGTTTACCCCCGAGTCGGCGTCCGGATTCGGCACGGCGTATTTTGCCCCCAGCTTCTGGACAGGAAGTGACGCAGGTGTGGGCGGGGCCTCAGCCTTTGGTTTGATGTTTTTAAAGTGCTGCAGGTGCACCACCTCCCTGCGCTCCCGTGTGCACGGCACCAGCACGGAGACGTCCTTGCGGAACTTGGAGCTCATGCCGAAGTAGATGAGCGGGTTGTAGAAGCTGGCGGACTTAGCGAAGAGACGGGTGATGATGCTGGTGGTGCTGGGCACGTGGAAGCCCCAGGCGGACCACATTGACACCACTGCGTACGGAGACCAGGCCGTGATGAAAGCTGTGCAGATGACAATGGAAATCTGTAGAGGGACATGAGGGAACAATCAGAGGTGTATTATGGACATTTTATCTTTCCAATAAAGTCTCTCCAATATAAGAAAACATTTCCCCTACCCTTGTGACATCTCTCTCCACCTTCCTTTGACGGGTGCTGAGAAAACCGTCAGCTGACATGGCGTTAGTGCTTTTCACTGTGTTGATAATGGACACATAGGAGAAGAGCATGATCATCACAGGGATGAAAAAGCAGAAGATTAGGATGGAGATTATGTAGGACTTGTGGATGGTGGAGTAATTGGCTTTGGACCAGTCCACCTCACAGGTGCCATAACCTCGATCTGAGAAACAGAAGACACAGAGGTCAGGTCCGTGTTTTAAAAATGAAGTTGTGTGCAGCTTTCCTCTGTGAGGTCAGCGTGTGATAACAGACCGGTGAAGCTGCCCCAGCCCAGGAGTGGAGCAACGGACCAAAACACCGCTCCGGTCCAAATGCAGATGAGCGAGACAGCAATGGTGTTGGTGCTGATACAGTACGCTGCAGAAACACACAAGCATGAACGTGGATACCGGGTCACGGAACAGATATTGCGATTGTTTGCTGTTCGGAAAGGTTAAATGTTACGTTGGCAAATGCAGAAAAAGTGAGCAGCATTCTTGACTTCTTGTTCTAAATGTCGAGGCTGTGACATTTATTAAACAATGACTTCTTTTCTTATTCCAACAGCCTTTGCAAACCTCTACGACTGAAAAGAAGCTCTGTTGACCAAGTCAGCAAATCTTTGTGCAAGAAAAGAAAAAAACGTTTAAGCTACGCTGGCATATCTTATGTTAAGAGGTGCAGTACAGTTTCTGAAGCAGAATTGGCAACACATTATTTTTGTTGTGGGATACTCAGCTTTGTTATGCTGATTTACTCTGTTTGGCTGCCTCGATTCCTGGAAGTTTATCTCGCCTACATTCTTTATTTTTCTGGTTTGCATCACTGTTTGCAGTATTTGCAGCTGCCCTCTTGCACATTATACATTTGATGTTTTCACACATGTACCACCAATGTTCATAGTTAACGTACTAATGTAAAAAAAAAAGAAAACCACACATTTTATGACAAGCCACAAGCACAATGAAACCTCTTATTCCATGCTGACAAAAGAGGCCGTTTTCTCAATTTCTATCTAATTAAGACATTCTTCAGAAACACTTACACCCTAAAATAGAAAATGTCACCTCAAGTTAACTTAATGACATGTTAGCGAGATGTAAATGAAATTGCTGGGAACAAGTGGTAGTAATTTCCACAGCTGAAGTTGGTAATGAGGTTTTATTACCACTGAAAAAGCACGCTTTTCTGTCAGATAACAACTGCTGGAATGTGCGCCGGGCAAAGACGCCGGTCTGAAGCTTTTCTCACTTGTACTGTTGAATTCAGGACGAGTGGATCTCACCTTTGTTAGGGTGACATCCCTTGATGTATCTGGTGACGCTGATAACGGTCAATGTGTTGATACTCGCGAGGCCGAAGAGCAAAGTGAAGAAACCATCTACCTGGAAGAAAACCGAGAGAGAGCTTAGTGAATGGGGTCCTGGAAAGGTCTTTGAAGGCCTGGAGGTCTGATCCATTACCTGCACAATAGTTCTAGGCCCTTTGTCCGTTGAGATACTTTTGCTTGGGAATGATAGAGACTCTACGGATGACCTTTTAGCCAAAATACTCCAGACCCAGAGTGTTTCCTCTGAGGGGAGCTGATGGCCCTTTAGCTTGCATGTTCAGCATTTGGCAATTTAGTTACAGCTGTTAATAGATTTGACCTTAAATTTCTGCCAATATCTGGTGGAGAAAAACACTTCGACGTCTGCCAAGACGCATTAAACCATGAAGCTTTTTAACATTCAGTTCTTTGTTTAAGATTATCTTTTAATCACAGCTCTCCTTAAAGGCGTATTATGCTACTGGGTTTCAGTCTGGCTCCAACTGCACGACACCCAGCTCCAGGTGCCATGGATCACTTAAGGTCCTTTACCGCTCGCTCTCCCGATCGTCCTTAGTTCTAATCCTATTACTGTCTGTCTCTGTTTCGTTCACCCTCACATTTGTCTAAATCAGTATGATTTTAATTCAGCAATATTTAAACTTCTTTAAAGAACTTAGAGAAGGGGGCTTCTTGAAATTTGATTGTCCAGGGCAATCTCACAGTTCAGTGAGATGTCAGATTACAGAACGAGTATCAGAAATGTAATGACTTAAAATCAGACTATTTTCTAATGTTTTGACAATACTTTTCCTGTATCCCCATTTGCAGCTTGAAAGAGTCCTATAGGTCTGAGTCATATTCATTGACGTCCTGTCCCACAGGGTGCAAAACACTGAGATCTGGCACGACTTTCAACTGCTCATGTCCCATCATGCTCCATGCAGTAATCTGCTAATGCTCCTCACATGCCTGCACGATTCACCTTCCTGTTTCTGCCTCACTCTATTTCTGTCACCTCCTACTTTGCCCTTATTTACTTCTGACACGCTCCCAGGAGGAGGTGAAATGAGAGGGCCGCAATGCCGCTGTGCCAAATAGTTCACCTGCAAACCTGAGATTGGAAGCTGAAGAGATGAGATGGTTTCAGTGTCTGCACTGAAGCTTCAAAACTGCAGACGTGGATTTACAACATCTCTCTCCTCCCAGGTATTGGGGGTTTCGTACCCCGTAGACTAAAAGCGCCCTGCTTGTTTTCATTCTCTCACTGATAACATGGTTTCCAGCAAAGCAAGCCTCGAGCAAGACAAATTCCCTGGACGAATTCCAAGCTAAAGTATGACAACTATTCAATTTCAAGCTGAGACCGAGGGAGGAGAAAATCATCGAGATGCTCTTAAATTACACACAGCTCGTCTGCTCAGTGACATCAGAGCGTGTGATCGAATCATGCGATTACGTCTGCAGTTCTTATTTGTTTCTTGTTTGACAGGTGCCATGCTGCTCGAAGAGTTTCCCCATTTAAAGGCCCCCTTGGTGGTAATCTTATTATAGATTTAACCTCCAGCCCACATGGCTACGCGCATAATCCCTTGCACACAGACATACAACTTTTCAAGCAATGTTCCTTGGATTTGACAAAATTTGCTCTGCAAATATTCAAAAAGTTATTATTTTAAATGTATATGTTTCAAATCAGGTATCGTCTTAATGTGGCTTTTACCTGGCAGGTCCAGATCCAGTTGATTAAATACCCGTCATCGTTGAAGATATTGAATATTTCCAGGATGCCTCTGGAGTAGCCAAATATGGAGATGCTCGCATCAGAGATGGCAAGATTCAAAGTGAGGAAGTCTGTCGACTGAAGTGATGCTCGCTGTCTGTACAGGACAAACATCACTAAACTGTTGCCGAACCAGGACAGCCAACCTACAGAGGAGACGACAGGCAGCTCATTCAGTAAATACATTCAGTAAATCTACATACACGCTAAGGTATGTAGATTGGAAAAGAATAGAACAGTATATAGTTGTGTGGAGTATAGGGAAGTATTGTAGCACATTTGGGTAGATTATTACATGGTACAACAGAGTAGAGTTATGGTA